CTTGTCTTGCCAGACTTGTGGCTCCTATCCTTCTTTGTCTTGCCTCGCTTCGACTCAGTGTCTGCCTCATTGTCACTGCCATCGATATCGAGGAAGGAGTTGTTTCGCTTTTCGGACGATATGGGAGGTTCCGGGGGCGGTCTTGTGGGCGTATCGGTCCGGCGCTCATGCTCTGGATGATAATCATCGTCATCATCACGAGATCCTGAGCGGACTTCTCTTATCCGTGCATTGGGACTCGGGTCGTACTCGGGGGAGAAGGATCGTGGTTGTTCTTCGGCCCTCTCACCGTTTGAAGCTGGAGCGGGATCGGAGGTCATTTCGGAGTAGGCAGGTTGCACGGGAGCAGATTGGGGTGTCAAGGGCGTATTTGGCGTCACCGGGCTGCCTTTAAGGTACGGGTTCATAACCCTGCGCAGACTGCTGATTGGGCTGGGCTCTGGTTTCGCAGAAAGCTTGTCTTTGGTGATGGGCAACTGGATCGGGGCCACCAGAGGGGGCATTGGCGGTTCGAGAGTGGCAGCAACTGGCACAGGAGGGACCTCATCGGCGGACACAGACTTCTTTCTGCGACGAAAGAAGGAGCTCGGTTTCTTTTGCAGCACGTGATGATGAGAATGGGACGAAGATGTATCCCTCGAGGGCGGGGCGGGGGCGGATGGCTTCATCTGGTTGGCAACGTGTAGAGATCGGTTCCCGGACCTCTGATCAACAGAATCCACAGATGTTGACGACGTTATGCCTGTGGAATTTTGCGTCTCGGGCGGGTTATTGGAGGCATTGCTTCTAGACGAGCCGAAGACTCGCCTGAAAAACCCCGGTTTTTCTTTTGTTTGCTGCGACGGTGCTTGTGTCGGAATTGTAGCTGCGTGCACGGGCTCTTTTGTCTTGCCGTAGCCCACGTGTGGCGCGGGTGCCGACTCAGACTCGAATGCCGTGACGGGTGCGGTTGCTGGCGATGATATTGGCGCAGCTGAAGATACCGGGACAGATGAAGGCATTGGGGGCACTTCTTCTCGTGGAGTGCTGGACTTGTTGTTGTTGCTGTCTGCTCGGCGGGATGTCGACGTGCTTTTAGCGGACCGACTCGACCGTTTGCGTTCGAGGACAATGGGCGGTGGTTCGGCTGGCTCCACAGCCACAGTCGATGGTGCATGTGCGGCTGCGGACGTGGATGCGGCCATGGGCGGTTGTGGAATGGTCGCGGCAGGGGGGGTCACGGGCGGCATCATGCGTCGGGGCCCGCCAGGCACCGTAGGCGTCGGCGCGGCATCGTAGTCGTCGGTGAAAAAGGTGTTGGAGAATTCAATGTGCCATGGAGCTCCGTTCGCTTGAGCTTGATGTTGTGTGGCCTGCAGGGCTGGTGGGCGGTGGCCATAGTCGAAGCTCGAGGATCTGCCACCGAAGCCGGAAGCCCACCTGGTGCTACTGAGAACCTGAGCATAGCCGGCATCAATGCTGTTGGAGCTGCTACTCTTTGTGCTTCCCTTCCCACCTCGAGAGTGCATGTGGCGTTGGGAGTTGGCAGTGCTTCGCAGCGGTTCCCGCATACTGCTGATGCGGTGCAGACCAGGTTGGAAGTTGGAACTACTGTTGCTCCTCCTTCCCCGTGAGGATATCCTGCTCGCATCGTCGGCGTCAAAGTCGGAGCTATAGGAGTATGTGTGTCCAGGGCGGCCACCTCGCACTGATGTAGAGAAACCGTCACCGTCGGTATCGTATTGGTACTGCTGAGAAGGCTCGTCATGCATGTTTGGCGGGCTACTGCCAAAGGGGCCACCGACTGGGCCACCCATGGAGAATTGGTCGAGAGACATGAGCATATTCGCCATGAGGGAGTCGCGTGTAACGTTTCGCGGGGACAATGAGAGATCGTGGGAGTCGCGGGGGCGTGATTGGTCGGGATTATCGTTTTCTTTATTCGAGGACATGTCGAAGCTGTCGGGCGAATCGGGAGTGTCTACCAAGAAAGAGTCGTCGGCATGGCGAGAGAGAGCAGGGCCTCGTAGTGCCCGAGAACTGTTGGATTTGCCCTTGGCGACGGATGAGGACGAAGTAGGCGGCGGTGGCCTGTTCCTGTTACTCGGTGGTGGTGTTTGAGGGACTGGCGGCGCAGTTGTAGGTTCTCCTCTTGACGCGACAACGGCGGCGGGCGGAGGAGAGGTGTTGATGTTGAGGTCGGGACGGCGACGACTGGAACGTCTCGGGGTGTCGGCGTACATGATGAAGGAGGGGGGACGGAAGGGTATCGTGGGGGTCGAAAAGGGTTTTCAAGTCATTTCCAGATCCAATCCGATCAAGCGCAAGCGCAAGGCGCATATGCAGTAAGGTGCCGTAGTATTCGCCAGTAGTAGCAGCAAGCAGGCCGGCGCCAAATAGATGCCAAGGTGCGGCCGCTGGACAAGAGTCGGGACGCGCCCCAATATTGTGCAACGCGGTTGATCCAATGCGACGCCAGTAGGTCAAGCGATCCAATCCGACGGCGATGGCGGCGCCGTAAGAATCAGTCGATGTCTGCTGGCGGGCTCACAGGATTCAGAGCCTGGAGGGAGGTCCTTGAAGTTTGAACAGCAGGCGGCGGGCAGGCTTGAACAGGCAGACTGACGGTCAAAGTGGGCTTCTCAGGCGTCGCAATGTCCACAAGGCCGGGTTCGAACTTCGGTGTCGCGGGTCGGCTTTGTCTCCCGGGGTGAACGAGTCCCAACCGAGTAATGAGTGGCCGAAATGAAGACTCGAGCGAGTCCCGTTTTGGACCCTTTCTTTGGGTCTTTTGGGGGGTGGTGTCAGGTGTTAGCGGACGACGTTGCAGCAATGTTTCTTTTCTGAAGTGGGCAGCTGTTCAGGTTGCTTTTTTCTCTGGTGGTGCTTTCGCCGTTTTCCCCCGTTTGGCATGGGCGGGTGGGCATTCAAGGGCCAAGAGTGCCACGAGGAACGGGAAAATGTGCGCGGGAAGGTTTGATTATGTATTAGTATCCGTCGTTGGTAGCGTGTATTCGTACTAGTAGTGGTAGTATTGAGACCGGGTATTCAGTAGGCGAATGTTGGGGGGGTAGAGTGACGGGCCTTGAAAGTTGGTACGATGCTCCGAAAGAGGCGATGGATGCTACCCTCAATCTTCCCCTGACCTAGGACTTGCTAGGCCCCGGATGGATGGTGGTGATCGGCCGTCGACGGGCGAGGGGTGGAGGACGAGAGCGAGGACGTGGACGTGGACGAGGGTGAGAGTGAGGGTGTGGTGTATGAAGTGGTTCACTTATGTCTTGTGCTAGCGACGAGAAAACGGCGACGGTGCGACTGCTAGCTTGGGAGGTATCCGCAGATGCGCGCAACACAGGTCGAGGTTGTGTTGGCAGTGGGCGAGCGCAGGGTTAAGAAGTATTAGTAGTTCGAATTGGATCGTCAGAATATGGACTGCGTGGTAGACATGGATATAGCTGGAAGTATTCTGTATGCGGAGACTGGAGTGTACCAAGTCCAAGTGGAAGTGGTATGCGAAGCGTGGTGTATCCGTACGGAGTATGCGTATGGCAAGGTTGGATGGGGTGCGGTAAGGGACGGTAGATGCAGGTGTGCATTCGTCACAGTTCGGATGTTTTGCGGTGCCAGGGCACTAGGGGGGTGGGTGGTCGGGTGCTTGGTTGCTTGAAGCACAAGCAGTTAGAGAAGGGAGGCGGCGAGACAGGTAAATGGATGATGGATGGATGGATGGGTTTGTTGACTTTTGGCTTACTTAGCTAAGGTACGGGAGAAAGTCTTGCAAGGTATCTGGGAGGTCTGATTTGTTGGCTTGGTAATAAGGTGTTGTTGATGAACAACAATCCACGAAACACACGTGGGAAAAGTGCAAAGAAGGAAAAGAAGCAGAAGGGAAGAGGAGGAATGGCCACAAGCAAATTCACTACCTTGGATACGTAGCAAGGTACAGATAGGTACCTGCAAACACCAGCTCCAAGGCGAGGTAATTAAGGTACCACCACGAAGGTACGGCGTAATTAGGGTCAAGCAAGGCATGACAAGGAATCTCGTTGATGGGCAGCCTATCCGTACACTAGAAGAAAGACCGGGCAGGGGCTGGGATATCCATACTTGACAGTCACAGAACACAGATGGGGATGAGATCCGAGACTGCTACGAATAGGAACCTGGTCAATAAAGCTAGAAAATGAACAGCGGACAATATCTCAGGCAAGTATTACTGTGGTCCTTCCGGCGGGACATGGATGGAACTTGAGACCTTGGTCTTTTTGGGCTGGTATCAACGTTGAAGGTCTGCAGAATTTCGGATTATGGTATCCGTAAAGGGTCCATATTCTATCAGGTAATTAGACGTAGCGTCCGTGTTGCTGCTGATGGTGTTGCATGTATTGACTCTCTCTTGTGTATCTCTGTGCGGACCTGCATGTTGGCAGGACATTCTAATTATACAGCGCATGCGACACGACATGAACCAAGGTGCCTTGGTATGTACTCCCAACTCCCTACTCCGGGTGGATGCAGAGTACGGGAGTACGGAGTTTCTGTGAGAGAGAGGATGCAAGTGATACGGGACTTTGAATGCGCCGGTCCATGGACGTTCATGTTGGCGTCTCTTCTCGGTCGGTTTTGCGGAGCGTCCCTGTCCCTGTCAAAAAAAAAGTCGGGCCCAGGCAAGAGAAACACCAGACGAGACGATAACAACAATAATATCAATATGCAAGGGAAAGAGCAATAGGGAGCACGGACGCCAATATTCCACATCATCATATCCGATGCTGAATAAGGGCGACGACGACGACAACGACGACGACCATATGTCCGTCTGACTTTGCCTTATTAGTCGATGTACGTACGGGCAAGTATTGCTTACTACCTAAGGTAAGGTAGGTAAGGTGGTCGATGCCCCGTATGGTTGACGAAGCAGGTTGAAGAAACATCCAACAGATGCAGAAATACCAAAAGAAACACCAAGATACCAGACGAAGGAACTTTTCCTTCCATGTATTTTTGAGGGCATCCATCCCATGGTCCTTCGCACCTGCCACGTCCACCAGTGCCTTCTTTCCTCCACTATCCTAAATTTCGAGCTGCACTTGCCTCATCCACCACATTACAAGTACGTATCCGCAACTGTAAGAAACGAGGAAAGAGCCAACGCACGAGAGCTTCCTCGCAAGGCACGGTACCTAGGAAATCCACAGAAAAAGTCGACAAATGTCACGGGCCTTGCGACATGTGGTCAGGAATCGTCAGGACGCACCTTCCATGTCATTTCTCGCCGTTGCCCTTGGCTGCTGCTGGGGAACATGAGGAAAGCACACAGCCAAACTGGCCCGAATGGGTAAAGAGTCCAGGTCCGCTGCAACTGCAGGGTTTCTCCTTTTTCACTGCTTTTGCCATTTTCCTTTGCCCCCAGTTGGCAGTGAACCCCTCCTTTCTTCTTTTGTTTTTGGTAGTATTGTTTTATTGCCTTTTTTTCTCCATGTTCTGTCACTCTCTTTTTACTGTCTATAGAGTGATCTATCACTCTGCTTTCCCGGCTTACCGATACTTGTGACCAAGTATACTCACTCACCTTCATCATCTTGACCGCCCGCAAATAACAAAGAAATAACCGCTTCATCTCAATCCCTCTCTGCAGAGCACGTCCTGTTCTCCCCAACCGCCCTCAATCCCACCAATCATTGCCATCCTCATTTCCAGAACGCCATTGGGCTCTTTCGAAGACAACCGCTTCGCTTCGCGTTCGCGCCATAGATGATGGAAACCGAGCCAGATGAGCAATGCAAAAGAAACAATCTGCCACAACCATCATCGATATGAACCTGCTGCCGTTGACCCTTACACAATACCTAGACTAGGAGAGCCTACCTACGCCATGGCAGTGTAGGATTTGGACGCCGTCGTGGCACCCCAAAACATGGCCGGCCTGCGAGACACGAGACACCACCACAAGCGCCAGACACCTTGACACCGCGACCGACGGCAGGCTTGCCGCCCTTGACTAGCTTCCTTTTCTGACGGGCACCACCCTGCACTGTCCCCTTCAATCCTTCCTTACATTCTTCCACCACAAAGACCAGAAGTGTCCAGAAAAAACGGGACAAGAGGAGACAGGGCTGCAGGGGTAATGCAAGATGCATCCATCCCACCATTGCTCTTGTCCCAAAGGAGAAGCCAATCTCAAGGGGATCCCAGACACTACCGTCGGCCTTCGTGAAGCCGTCGCCAGAGGCTGATGGCTGATGGCTTGGTCAACCGTCAGTTGGGTGCAAGACGCGGCACAGAGTCCTTCACAGTCCTACAGATCCATCGCTGGCTGGCTGGCGTTGCTCATGGCGGATGCTAATTACCGATACGACTTCAACATCCTGCGGGACCGACAATGTTCATCTATCAAAACCAACATCCACGGATACCGCCTGTGTCTCTACCAATTCGTCGTTCTTGGGGCCGTCCGTTCCTTGATGACAATCTCACCTCACGATGCGGATACTTTGACACCTCCGCGTTCCAAGAAGGAAAGCTGTCCATCCTAGACCAGGAAAAGCAGTGACCAGCAAAAGCTGGATGGTGGATCAACTAGATCAACAACGTACACACGCACACACACATTTTCACGTCAGAACCAAACGCGATTGCAACTTTCGCCATTACAAAGACGACTATCCGGTAATCCGCCAGCTTCCCTTCCACAACGAACATGCCATATCCCATTCGTCGAATCGTCTTATCGTGGCTATTATTGTCGCGAGCTTGACATTTGCCTTTCTTCCCGCCCACACATACGCTACCTCGGCCGCCCTCGATCCAATCGCGTCCATTCTCACGCCGCGAATACGCCCACTCATTTGCGCCCACTTGAAAGCACGTGCAGATACCCATGGACTTCCCCTGAATCGATGCAGACACCAACTTTTAGCATCCAGAGGCCCGTGCCAGACGCTGGATTGCGCCACCTTTTCCGCCACCTCGTGCCCATCGCTTATTCGCTTGCTTCGACACCCTCCTGCCAGTGGTTAACATCACTACACAGGAAAGCCTCTCCCCTCCCGAGTCCCAAGCTCCCACACCTGACGGCCTGCGAGCGGAGCGAGTGTCCATCGTGGGATTACAGGACGGCGGGATGGAACATAGTCTGTGTGTCTAGGTCTCGCGGGCCTGCTATGCGAGGGACCGTCGAGCACCACGAGGCTTATGACATTGACAGCCCCTTCCCCCTCGCTACCAAGTCATCTACGGTGTTTGCGCCCTTCTTTGGAAAAGATGTTCATGTCAGAATCATGATTCCAGGAGCCCCGGGCAACCAGGACCCTCATATTCCACTCGAGCAATGCGACAGATCATCGCGACAGTGGCACTCATTGCCATTTCTCTCTGAAAACTCGAATATGAGACCAGGCAGTGAGGCACTCTCTCATCTTAGAGATCTGCTTGGCCCCCAAATGCCGACGTCTTATTAGCGATGGTAATTAATTGTCCGTGTTTGGACCTGCAGGTCTGTGACACCACCAGCCCTTTTGACGGCGGAGTCGACACCGACGCGTTGCTGACGACCTGGCTCAGTAATGGAGGTCTCGCGCTCTACCAATCGTTTCGCCCAAGAACCATTGGATTTCCAGAAACTTTGCACTACAACAGACGCTGCAACACACCGCCTTCGTACGGGCGTCATTGACTTAGTGTACTGTACAAGTAGGCAAGGAGTCCGACGGGAGAAGGTGTCCCGGCCACCACCACCATCACCAGTCCACCACACCACCGCAAGCTGCATCCCCCCGCGTGATCGCTGGTCACTTCCAATGACATTCCAACGGCTTTGCTTACAATCTATGCATTTGCGGAACACGACCTTCTCCCTGCTTCACTGGCCAACAGTTCCCCCTTCGAGTAAGGGCGGACTCGGCCCCCATTCCCACTCGCATCCAAGCCCGCCTTCTAGCGACTCAATCTCCAACACTGGCGGCCCCCATCCTGATTGATGTTCGCGCTAAACTGACAAAACCTAAAACACACCGACAGAGCTTCCATGTCATTAGTTTCCTTGCCGTCGTGCCAGTCGGCGTTCGTCAAGAAGACCCTCACGACCCTTCTTCACCTCCGACGTCAAGTCAACGTGTCAAAGCGCAACCTGTTCGCACTCCGCAAGTCCACGGCCTGCCTGCATGACGAACATTCTTCGGCGGATCGCTTAAACGTCTCCAGCTTTTGCCCCTTCGCCGCGAACCGGCATTGCGACGGGGCGTGGGTGCCTCCAAGGCCCCTTTCTTGGCGTGTCAACCCTTCGCGTCAAGGAACGAAGATTTCGGTCAATCAGCCAATCTTTTCAAGCCAATTGGGGTTACACGATGGCCACAGGCCGAGAATACCTAGCGCGTGGTTTCGTAAGACTAGAGCAGCTTTCTAAAGTCTGACAACTCGGCTCACTCTTCAAAAGCAGTCGTTCCCATCTTGCAGCTCCGGGATCAGGATCCTCTTGAAGATGAGCCGGCTCCGTCGATCAGTAGATCACCAATCCCTCTCCATAATCGGCCGATAATGTCGAATCTTGCATTGCGTTTGAAGCGAGCTGCAATTCTCCAGATCATCTCGGCGAGCCACCTCTCCGTGTCCCTCGAAACAACGTCGCCTGCTGTCAGCGCCGTGTATTCGGTCCTCGCACGTCCGCGGCGGCCCCCCACTGCAAGGACCATCCCAAGTTCGGTCCCAAGTCGGCGACAGGACTTACTCTCCTTCAATCTTTGCGCATTGCGTAGGTTGTATTCACCCGCCGTCGCACTGTCGGTCCCCAAATCCGCAGGTGGGTAATACGTCCAGTGTTAGTTTCTGTAGTTTAGTACGCTAGATCACTTCATGTCACTGTCGTTCGAGTGAGGTACTGTTTCAGGAACGAACACACTACCTCTTTGCTTCATTCTTACTCGCTCTTGTTCATTCGACGAATGACGAAGTCACCGAGCTCGAAGATGGATTCCGCACGAGCGACATGATCATCGCCGGCACCTGGAAACCTTGGCCGTGCTTGGCTTAGGCTGCAAATCTTACGTGGATGATACCACACTGATATGCCAGTGCATACGGACACGACGGAAGCTCGTGTCGCAACGCAATCGAGTGGTTGGATTGCCATAGTGGTACTCTGGATCTCCGAGCCATCAGGATAGGCAGCATCGTGGCTGGCGGTCCTACTTGATCAGACGCTCAGGCTTCGTCTCGAAGGCTCTTATTTCCGTCTTCGAGACGACGGTTGCTCTGTGGACGGGTGGATGCACTGGTGACTCTCCAGATGATGGTTGACACAGCATATCATATATGTAGGCGTTGAATTGAGTCCCGGAACAATGGGCACTGGCAATAGCAACCAAGTAGTTGTTTGTAACGACTGATGCATAGTTACTGATGTGTGTCTAGAGCCTGAACTTGAGTTGGCAGTGCGCGTCTCTCCATCTCAACCCCTCTACGTAGTCCAGATCACGTCTTTCCAAGTCTGCCTTTGAAGCATCGTGAATCCAATAGTTGAGAAGTCTCTCACCCCGGCCGTCACTATTTCTTATAATACTGCGTCATATCATGGGCAAGCCCCAGTATACCCTATACAAGTTGGCATATCAGATCATCACTCCGCCAAAAGCTAGCCAGGAGAGAATAAGGGTAAGAAAGAACAAACAAGCATACCAGTTGGAACGTGATGGCAGCCTCGTCAGTCTTGTCCGCCTCACGCATGGCGACAATCCCTGGGTCATTGGCCTCGACCTCGTCCGGGTCCGAGGCCATCCTCTTGAGGTTCGCCTCGGAGACCGGGTTCGTGAATTGGTTGAACTTTTCTCGTCGGTAGCGGTCGTACTTGTCGAGTATGTCGTCGTCGGCTCGGCGATCGTGGATGCCTGCTAGACAGTCGAAGAGGTCGCCTACGTCGACGATGCCACCCGTGAGGCCCATGCCGCCGCTGTGGAGGCCGAGGGCCGAGAGGTTAGATGGGTGCCAGGCAGGATTTTCCTTTCTCTCTTTTTTCGTCTTTCCCCTTTGTCTTCCACCTGTGTCATGGGTACGAAGGGCACTTACAACGGGTTACACAAGTGCGCAGCATCCCCAGCCAAGATGAACCTCCCCACGCGCATCCGCGGCGCGAGACGCTGGTGTACCTTGTAGGGGCTAAAGTTGACGATTCGGTAGTCGTTGGCCTTTGGGTTCCCGGGCAGCATGGTTTCGTATTTCGCGGGCTGGCGGGCACGGTACTCGTCGTGGCTGAGGCCGGGGACCTCGCCGTAGCTGACGCGCCAGAGGCCGTCGTCTTGGATCTTGGCGGCCATGAAGTAGTCTGTTGGGTGGATGACAAAGTTGGAGTCTTTCCAGCCGTACTTTTCAAAGTCGTAGTAGACCTTTTGTTTCTGTGTGTTTAGCATCCTATTCGCTTCTGGGGCTGTTTGCCTTTCTGCTGCTGGCCTCTCTATCAGGAAGGAAATGGAGTTTCTACTCACGTTTGTGGCAACAATTTGCAAGTCCCACGTATACCCAGGAAACTCGTCCCCAAACAGCTGTCTCCGGATAATGCTATTCGCACCATCACATCCAACAACATAATCAGCCTCCAGCTCCTCGGCCCCCTCCTCCGTCTTCACAACAACCACCGCCCTCCCCCGGCTCTCCTCCTCCCGAATCCCCTCAACCTCACACCCCCACCTCACCTCCGCCGCCGGCTCCTTTTCGAGATCCTCCAGCGCCATCTTACACAGCGCGTTCAACGGCAGACACGAGATCCGGTCCGGGTTCTCCGCGCCGAGCCTGCTGTTCTCGATCTTGGCGAGGACGGTGCCGTCTGGTTTGCGCCAGCGGGCGCCGCCTACTTCGATGCCGTGCTGCCTGACGCGGGCGAGGAGGTTCGCGCGGGAGAGGACGCGGTTGGCGGGGGCGGCGTAGTGTGTTGCGCGGGGCTGGGTGTCGAGGGAGGCGGATTTGTCGAGGAGGAGGACGGGGATGGAGTGGCGGGCGAGGAGGAGGGAGAGGAGGAGGCCCGTTGGGCCTGTGCCTATTACTATTACCTGGGGTCGGAGGGTTAGTTGAAGTGTAGGGTAGAGAGGAAGGGTTGGATATGGGGGATTTGCGGTGTGATGGTGTTGGTTTTACTTGTTTGATACCATGGTGGTCTTGAGATGCCATGTTTGATGAGTTGGATGTGAATGAGGGGGTCTGATTTGGTAGATGCTTTGGCAAAGGCTCCTTTAAGAGAAAAACTATTCACGGCTTTGGTATACGAAACTTGATCTGTTACTGCTCGTCATGAATGGGATGTTTGGCGATGAATTATAATCGTTATTATTATTCGAGTTTTCTAGAATCAATACTCTGTCACATAAAGCCAGCTTGGTGGAGGCAACCAAGTTTCTCCTTGTACTTGACGTGAATAACCCCTTCTTTCCCTCTTCATTGCGAGTCGTCAGCAAGAGAACGGGCTATGTGGGATGCTCACGGACATATGACTTTGTGGGGTAACGAAGTGGGATGATATCCGGGGGCGGGTAGTGTTGATTAGTCGCGGGGGAGGGGGAGGGGCTGTGAGGTAGCTTGGAGGTCTAGGACGAATCGAGATGAACAGAGACTGAGCTTTCTCTGCCATGAAAGAGCAATTTGTGTTCCGTTGGTTGGTTATGCGAGATGTCTATCTTTTCACTTCGCTAAACCTCCCCACACACTCCTAGCCGGCAGTGCGGGAGGACGGTGCGTAGACCAGGTTTTTCAAGGCCTGTTCTAGCTGGATCATGAAAAGTTCAGTTTCGAGCTGACTTTGATATACTCTTATGATATGTTCGAGCTGCTCTTCGTCTGCCTTCTTCCAACAAGACCTTGTATCCGGCGTCGATCTCCACCTCATACACTCATGACCGCCACAATGGACTTCTCCGAGATAGATCTCTCCCACCCACCCCTCAAAGACCTAACAATATCCAACATCACAGAAAACGTCCACGCCATCAACTCCAAATGCGCCGACATCCGCACGCGCCTTCTCCTAGAAAAGCTCGTCACCCACCTCCACGACTTTGCCCGCGAAACAAACCTCACCACCGCAGAATGGGAGACCGCCATCGCCTTCCTCACAGACGTCGGCAAGACCTGCACCTCCGTTCGGCAGGAATTCGTCCTCCTCTCCGACGTCCTCGGCCTCTCCCTCCTCGTCGACTCGCTGGACCACCCGAAACCGCCCGGGATCGGGGCGACGGAGGGCACCGTCCTCGGCCCGTTTCACACCCACGAGGCGAAGGACGTCCCGCACGGGGAGATGATTTCGAGGGATGGGGATGGGGAGCCGATGCTTGTTGTGGGGACGGTCAGGGACACGCAAGGGGTGCCGATTCCGGGGGTTAAGGTTGATGTGTGGGAGACGGATTCAAAGGGGTTTTATGATGTTCAGTATGATGGATATGAGAATCCTGACGGACGGGCGGTAGTGAGGAGCGATGAGGAGGGAGGGTTCTTTTTCCGGGCGATTGTGCCGGTGCCGTATCCTATTCCGGGAGATGGACCTGTTGGGAGGTTGTTGGCGACGTTGGGGAGGCACCGGTACCGGCCTAGTCACTTTCATTTCATGTTTGATAAGCCTGGATATGACCGTCTCATCACGTAAGTTCTCTTTGGCATTTTGGCATGTTCACTCTGATACTGGGGTTTCTTTCTGACGCGGACACAGAGCTTTGTATCTTCGTGGAGATCCCTTTGAGAGGTCGGATGCGGTCTTTGGAGTCAAGGAGTCGCTTATCGTGGACTTGAAGACTGTCTCGGATGTTGATGGGTTGGCTGAGAAGTACGGTGTGAGGCCGTCGACGCGGCTTTTGACGTATGATTTTGTGTTGGTTTCGGAAGAGGAGGTTAAGGTCTTGAGGGAGTCTTAAGCAAGGCAGCAATTTGTTAAAGACGAGTGGCATAGATGACATTAGTAAACGGGAACCCCATTTTGAATTTGAGATCGTAGTAGTACAAGTAAACTTGAAAACTTCGATTACGTTGTGGTATCATATCGCCAGACCAAATCTAGCACTTTACTAGTGAAAGATTGTGAGAGACTCGGCTTGGTTGAAGCCTTTTCAGTGAATCTTTTCTAAAATATAAGTTTAGGTTGGCTGGAATTCAAAACAGGCACTTTGCCGTTACTCTTTTCGTTGAGGAGTACGACTTACTGACCATGTATGTGTATGTACCCTAGCGTCTCATCTGCAGGTTCTAATCACAACAAAAGTCTGGTGATAAAAAACTGTTAGAAAGCAATATCATCGAATCTAGTGCACACGCACACAATTTCTTTTCTTCAAGATCGTTTCTTTTGAAGATCGGTTTCAACTTTTCTGACTCTTGCCATACCATAGGTTGACTGACATACGGCGGCCGGGCCCCCGCCATCAACATCAGTGCCAGCGACAACTAAACTCGCTTCGATGGACCAACCATTCAATGCTGTAGATCCCGTCGCCCTTGGCCAAGAACTTACAGTGCAACACAAAGGATCTGCAATGTGATTCAAAATGTGACCGCAATGTTCGGCAACATCTAAGTCCGTCGCCAATATCGGGAGTCATCAACCCCCTGACAAGAAAGTGGAGTAGGATCTCAGTGGTGGAGATATCCCACACCACATCCCACATTGCCTAATTGGGATGTGTTAGTTCACGTTTCAATTCCTCAACCCACCGTGCTATGCACAGCAGCGGGAAGGTGATGACTTCATCCAATACTACTAAGTGGAGAGGACTTGAGTGGACGCAGTTATCGAAAGTGTCAGGCATAAAGTGTAGTCGTGCCGATACGATGAGACAAGAATGAAGAGAACCCACGATAGCAAAGAAGTAATTAGTCCAAAGCGTGATTCTCACACCAGTCAACAACTCTTTGAACCTTAAGATGGCGTCCAACTCTCAGATTCAGAAAGCAACACAACCTTGGTGGGATGATGGAAGCGAGAAGCACTTCGTGCCGCTGGCCCCCGCCGTTCCTATAGACCCGAGCGTCAATACCTGGTCCCGCTTCGGTCCAACCTTTGAAGCCTACGAATACTCGGGCTGGATCGACGAGAGCGTCTCCTGGAAGACGGACTGCTATATTGGCGACTGGTCGCCGCTGCTCAAAGCCCGCGTCACCGGCCCGGAAGCGCAAGCCTTTTTCGAATACATCTCGACCAACCGCTGGCCAAACTTCAAGCCTGGACAAGCAAAGCATGCCATCTTCTGTCAGGATAATGGGTGCGTCGTTGGCGAGGGTCTGGTTTTGATGCTCGGAAAGGATGATTTCTTGTTCACTAGCGGCCCCGGGACGGTTTGGCTTGTGTACCAATTCCAACAGGGCAGAAAGAAGTTTGATGCCACTCTGCAACTGGTCACTGATGACTGGTTCCTTCTTCAAATTCAAGGTCCTGGGAGTGTCCAGCTGCTGGATGAGGTGACGGACAAGGGTGTCCGGGATATCAAGTTTATGCATTACAAGGAGCTCTCGATCGATGGAAGCAAGTTCCTTTGTCTGAGACAAGGTGTATCCGGCGAACTCGGTTTTGAGCTTTGGGGGTCGACGATGGATGCCAAAAAGATTTACGGTTCTATCGTAGACGCTGGCAAGAAGCACAATATCCGGCAACTGGTTGCTCGCGCAAAGATGGTGAATCACGTAAGTAAATTTTGCCCTATGCTCCCCATCAACAACTTCTCTTGACACGTGCCTTCTAGGTTGAAGCCGCGTTTGCGACTCCGGCCGCAGACTTCATTCCGGCTGTACACGCGCCCGCAGACAACCAGGAACTTCTCCAGTTCCGACAATTCGCGCGAGACATCGGCTTCGACTTTGACCACTATCTCTCCAAGGCCAGCGGTAGTCACGGCGCAGACCCTATTTCCTACCACTTCACGCCATTCGACCTGAACTGGGGCTGGCTCATCAACTTTGACCACGACTTCATCGGGCGCGACGCCCTTCTCAAGCTCAAAGACAGCCCACCGAACCAGCTGGTGACGCTGGTTTGGAACGCGGAAGATGTGACTGACGTTTTTGCGTCCCTCTTTCGGCCGGAGCCCTTTGAGTATATGGAAATGCCTCGCAACCTGCTTGGCAATGTTGTTGGCAGTACTGTTCTGCGCGAAGGCAAGACGATCGGGTGTGCTGTTTCTCGGTGCTACAGCTACTGGTTCAAGGAGATGGTGTCACTGGGGATTGTTGCCAAGGAGCATGCTGCTCCAGGGACAGTTGTTGAGGTGAAATGGGGATCTGAAGGATCTCCCGTGAAAATCATCAGGGCGGTAAGTACAGACACCATATTTTTTCTCGCGGCTTGAGCATATTAAGCTAATATGAGATACAGACAGTGCAGGTTGCGCCGTACAAGGAGGACAAGAGACGACACTCAATTCAGAAGTAGGTGTGCGTACATAAGGATCACTGGTTCAGCTGGTCAAGAAGGGCATCAAATGTTCGCATGGTGGATCTCTAGCTATATCTCCATATAGAATCATCTCATTATCCTCGCTGTGGCAATGAAAGATGAGCCCTTAGGAAAATTCACGTAAAACAGAAATTTGTATCGACTCCTCTCATTGACATACGACGTCAAATCCCCCCTGTCTACTACATAGTCATCGACTTACATAGATCGTGCGCATGACTTACTCGGACAATTACCCCGCGCGTCATTAGCCTGCAGCGGCCCGCCCGCCGGCCCCGGTTTGTGGAGGCACCAAGGATCGGACACGGAGGCTTAAACAGTCCGTCCTTTCGTCACCGGCACTTTGACCTTCAAACTCTTACTCCACGCTTTTGGTGGACAATCAAGCCAACGTCACTCAGAAGCGAATGCCTCCAGTTCGTCGACCGCGTATTTCGGCTATGGCGTTCTCAACGGCTCCTGGAATGTCTGTCATCTCTTTCCGCAAAGAGGCAGGAGTTCAACACCGATGTCGGATTTGTCCAAAGACGTTCAAGCGGAGCGAGCATCGCAATCGCCATGAGCGAGGCCGTTGGGTTGTCCTCTCTAAAAAGTCTGGAGTTTCGGCTAAAGAGAAGTAGATTCACAAGAGAAGCCGTTTTCTTGCCGCATATGCAGCCGACGCTTCGCTCGCAAGTGAGTTTGTCTGGGCTGGGATCTCGAACAGCACTTCACTACTGACGATATCTTTGCCAGTGATCTGGTTACTCGCCATGAGAAGACTTTCCACCGAGACCAGTCGCAACCCGGTGCAACCTCTAGTTCAGAGAAGTCATCCTCAAGAAATGCCCAAGTTGATGAACCACCGTCTATGATCACTCCAAATGAACAGAATCAAAGTTTGCAGGGCCACACAGGACCATCGAATGAGCTGTCATCTGAAGGAAGCCTACCTTCGGTGAATGCCGACGGGCCCAATGTATTAGGGGATATTCCTCAATTTGGCTGTGACATCATGTCCGAAGTCGAGAATTTTGATTTCAGCGATATTTCGCTTGAGTTCTTCGATCCATTCTTAGGTAGAACCTTTGATCATTTCGCCTTTCCAGTACTCGAGGATGTTCCCGAGCAGCTCCAGCCACCAGTACCAAGTTTGCCTCAAAGCAAACCCTCAGGCTACCAAAGCAATCCTTCAGATAGGGGAGAAGAAATTCCAACGCTATCGCAAGGACATACAATAAGCCAAGGCGCACTCAGGCCTCGACGAAGGTGGTCACCACGGATACTCAAGTCAACGACGGCGAAGAACCACAAAGTCGTTTTCACAGAAGAGATGAGAGCTCACTGCTTGGCTGATATAGAGTTACATCTCACCAAAGCCCAGCTTGGGGACTTTCAATTACCACCCGTTGCATCCTTGCAGCAATACTTCAATTCCTACGTGGATGCCTTCCACATACACTTTCCCTTCCTGCACCTGCAGACTCTGGAATTAGAGAAGGTTCCTAGTCCACTAGTCCTAGGAATATGCGCCATAGGTGCCCTCCACAGACTTCAGAGAAAGATGGCCTCGTCGCTCTATCTTACAGCCGAACGCGTCCTCGCGAGCATAGACTTTGAGCGACTCCAGGCTATCCCAGAATTATTGGATGACTGGGCGAGACCTCGAGACTCACCACCACCAGACCAGGGGCCGCTGGTACTGGCCCAGACGCGGTTCATTCTCGTCTTCTTCGCATCTTTCAGCAGTGAGCCGCGGTTGATACGTCAGGCTCTCGTCGGCTGTGGCCATCTATCAGCAGTGCGTGTGCAGATTTCGAGATATTCCTTCCACGCGCTTACAGATCATCTCAGGATTTTCGGTCAAGAATGGCCCGCGCAAAGCCTGGTTCAATGAAGTTGAACCTCTCTCAGTGGCATTCTTGGATCGAACATGAGTCGATAAAGCGGTGAGAGCACCTATTCTTGTCGAAGACTTCGCCGCTGGCTGACATCATCAAGTCTCATGTGCTGCTGTATGGTTCTCGGTAATCTCCTCGTCATAGCCTACGGTATCGTGCCAGGCTTCGCAGCGCTAGAGGAGTGCAACATTGAAATGCCCGCTGAAGATGAGCTATGGGATGCCACGAGTGCTTCTGAATGGAGGTCGTCTCTGCAGAGACGACTGCCTTCTTCGCCAATAGGTCTTCGTCAAGCAACAGCTTGGATATTTGGTAACAGCGCACAGGAAGAAAGACTAGATGCAAGCTGGACTTGGTCGCCGTTCGCAGCATCAATAGTAATGCACCAAGTTGCCATCGTCGTTTGGTTCTTCGCCCACGGGAAAGAGGCCTGCTACGGAACGACGCAAAGCTATCGAGAAAGCCACCAGTCTGACGCCAAGAGGATAGAGTCTGCTCTATCGAGGTGCAGAGATCTGCTAACCGAGACACGCGATGGCAACGACGGCACGTGGACTGAAGCTGACGGTCCATTGTTGTTTAACGCATTTGCCGTTTTGCGTGTTTCGTACGGCCGAGCGTTCATCAACTTCCAATCGTTAGATCGCTCGCTACTCTTTCAAGAGAGTAGCCAGGGTATGCTAATCATCTTGCAACGCTACTTTGACGCTGCTCAAGAGCGGGATGGGTACATGACCATGGCTGTCGACTGTGCTCTGGAAGGCTTTGCGATACCCATTCGAGCGGGAGTCTTGCTCATGCAAAAGACGGCGGCGTTGAAGTGGAGTGTTGAACATGCTTTGGCTGGATGGGATGCCGGTATGTCTTGATTCTTTCGTGAAGTTTTGGCCATGAAGAAGATGTATTCGTACTGACCTTGTCAGCCCTTCTAGTGACGAAGTGGGTTCATACGGTCGAATGTCTGCAGTCTACGGGTGGAAAGACCACGCCAGAAGAAATAAAGGTCCTCGATAACGTTCGGTATCTTCTCGGCCAAATTGACGTTGATCGCTCTCCATCTTGTTCTCTCGCTGCCGATCTTGCTCGTGTTTGGGCTGGACTCTACGACGATACTTGGGTTTGGGGTGGTGAGTATTACTCGAACCTCTCATGGAATTTCTGTTGCTGAAACCTCATCAACAGTCGCACCACGTATGAGCTGGGTTCTCCGCGAGCTTGCCAAGTTGTATGAGCAGGAGGCTTCAGATACAGAGAGGCAGCACCCGACCTAATACAGTTGCCTGTCTTGGGTCCGAATGTGGTAAGTCAACATACCCACTTCCTGGCACCCCCCTGTTTCTGGCACCCACAAAAACGCGAAAATCCACCACAACCCAATGCCCACCCCCAACCTCCTTTTATCACAACATTTTCAATTCGCGTCCAAATGGGCTCATCTTTTGCACATGTCTTCTTCTATATATAATGCCTCAATATACCGAAGATCAGCTTCGTCAGGCTCTCGAGGA